AAAAAAAAAAAAATGTGAAGAATAAATAGTAAATAGGCGAGAGAACAAAGTGGAGAAACAAAGCAAGCGTAGTGTGCAATGTAACAATGAACAAAATAACTTAATGAAATAAAGGAGAAAAGCGAATAAAAAATTTTTACAAAAAAAAAAAAAATAATGAGAGAGTGAGAGAGATGTAACTGTATGAGGGAAAAAAATGCATTAGAGAAACGTCGCGACTGCATCTTTCAATGCGTTTCGTCGGGTATGAGAGAGCGAAACGTCGCTTTTTATAACGTTGCTGCGAAAAAAGAAATTATATATATATATATATATATATACATACATACATATATATATATATATATATATATGTATATGTGCGCGTAGGCTGCATGCTGAGCGAGTTCTGTTAGCACAGGGACTAGGGTGAACACCGTTCTTGATCGCGGTATCGACGTGAAAAGCGATTATCACGGAGACCTGACCGAATCCTCGACGATCCATTAAACGCGTTGCATACTTTATCAGCCTGTGAGCCCACCTCGCGACGAGGGGAACTCCGGCCGGCCGTAATTGGCGTACATTTTTCATTGGCAACGTCGCGAGCATCTCGCGTGCGCTGACGTCGTATAAAGAAGTTACTTTGACGACCGAACCACTTTCGTACGTTTTATTTAACGATTTGGTTCACCGTTAGAGAACCAAATACAAATTCGAGGAATCGTAGGCTTTTCCTCCCTGTGGCCCACGTTTATTTCCGATCGAGCTTGTCGAGGAGAATCGAGCGGTCCCGCGATTCGGTCGATAGTACTCCAGGGTAACGTTTCGTAAAACCTTCTCGTGTAACGAAGCGGAGAAAATGGCAGACGACGCGCGTGCGTCGAGGACAAATACGTAAATTAGTGGCGAGCCTTTCTTAGAAATTGGACGATAGCGCGAGCAAGTATGGGCGGGATAATGAAACGAGACGCCTGTTGATTGGTCGACGGTGCGTACGGCGCCGCCCACGGGCGGTGGCGTCCTTGGGGACCGCCAACGGTTGTGGACAGTTCCTGGAAGAAATAGAAAAGGGGGATGATCACTGAGAGGGGTTGGGGATGAAGCCAGATGGATTATCGCCTAGGCTGAGGCTGTTCAATTCTTTATTCTGGAAGCAGGAGTAGAGTGCGTGAATCTTCGAATGCCCCTGAACATCGTCAGTTCCGCCTTACAAGATACGCCCACCTACAGTGCGTCGAGGAGAAGAACGAATCGTGACGGTAGTGGTCAAAGAGTGGAGGTGATGCTCTCGAGAGCACTCTTGCCCAGTTGAACAGGCTCAGCCTAGAACCTAGCCACGAACCCGCTTGATACCTCTTAAAAGAGGCCAATGACACTCAACTTGACGAACTGTACAAGGTGGACAAAATTGTACGTAGCCGTTGTCACGGTCCCTGATTGCCAACATTCCCGCAGTGGCGCTGTACATGCGTATATATGCGTACAGGCATATGTGTATATATAAACGATATACAATTACCGTAAGCGTATAAAAGATATAATTTATATATAGCTGTATCGTACGTCATCAGTACATGTAGAACAGGCTTGCGAGTGTTCACATGTGATCGTCTCAGCCGGCGTGAGAGTGCTTTATCCTAGAGACTGCATGAGTGAGATATATATATATATATATATATATATATATATATATATATATATATATA